GATCCTCAGTTGATATCTGTAGGGTGGATGAACAATTGAGGCGTTTTAATCTGAAATTGGTCTTGCTATGGCCTCTCTTAATGAGGGGAGATGGAATCTTTCTATGAGGAGATGATAGTGCTGGGGGTCGCGGGCTTGGCTGGGCAGCTTTTTCCTGCCTGGGCAGATAGCCGGCTGCTCACATGGGCTCCTCTGCCTGACTCCCCTTCTGCCGTTTTCTGCCCCTGCGTTCGAAAGTGATCGCGGGCTGCCGGTGCCCTGGTCATTGATAGTGCAGGGAGAGGAATCGCTGAAAGCGTTTCCCCGTGTTTGGAGGGTCCATCCTGTCCCTTCCAAACTCTGGAGCTTTCCCACACCTCCTTCCTCCCCCCAGCTCTCAGATGCCTTCTGGCACCTGGTGTCTACTGAGTGCCTGGCTGCTGAGATGTTTTTAAAAAGACAGATAAAGCAAGGGTTGTGTCTAAGGACCTATGGGCTTGCTGTGGAGCCACTGATGAGTGATTGCCACCAAGGGCATCCCTCCAGGAAGCCATTTCTGCCTCCCCCTCCCCTTTCCAGGTCCTGAGTACTGCATGTTTTGTGGTGTGATGTAGCCTGGGAAGTGACTTGCTGTGGGTTGAGGGCACCAATCATACTTTGTGAAAATCATTGGTTTTCTTGTCTTTTTGTCTCTCTCTGCTCTGATCTTGAGATTAGCATCTGAGTCTCACCTCTTTGTAGGCTCAGTGACTAGCAGGTGTCCAGTGCTCAGCTGCTGTGGAACAACTGCCCAGTGGGAGGGAAGGAAAGGAGAGATGGGGTGGTGGGGCCATCACATCGTGGAACAATCAGGGAAAGACTGCTTGTGAGCCCCTAGGAGGGGGGGCACTTTCTATGTTTCCTTCTCCTGGAGTTCTTCCTTTTGGCCAGTATTCCTTCATTGGAGTTCATTGGATTCCATTGGAGGCCCCTTGGCATGAGATAGAGCCCAGTCCACCAGGGGAGACTTTCTGCATGGCCTGCTGTTATGGCAGCTGGAACCAGAGCAGTAATGAAATTGGACAAGGCTTAAATAGATGCCAGACCTCACCTTCGCAGGCGACCTGAGGCGCTCCTGCCCCTGTGCCCTCCCTGCCCAGGCCAGACACTGCCTGTCAGATGTTGCACCCTTCCAAACCTGCCCTGGAGTTTCCATCCTGTTCAAGATCCAGCTTTCAGAACCTGTACAGTGTCATCAGAGTTTGCACAAAAGTTGATCTGCCCTAGATGAGCTGTTGTCCCATGTGGAGTGGAAGCTTCCTTCCTGTTCATGAGAAGACGGTGTGGCTCGTAGGTTGGTAACAATAGCCCACATTTGTGGAGTGGCTGGTTACTGGGCCAGATACTCCGTGGGTTTGCCAGGGCATGTTGTGAGCAGGTGGCATCTAGGTCTCTCATCCAGGGCTTCTCATTTGGTGCAGAGGAGGCAGCATGGTGCATAGGGTCCTTGAGAGGTGTCTCCATCCTGTCAGGAAGCAGCTGGACCATGGTGCTGCTGAGGTGAGCTGTGCTCTCCAGGGGTCTGGGACTTTGCATCCCATGAGGTCCATGCAGGTCCCCCAGTGTGATGTAGTCTGGGAAGTAGTCCTGGTCCTCATTTTGTACCCTCTCTGGGGCCTTTGAGAATGCTCCGAAGTTCCAGGAGTTCCTGTTCTTGCACTTGGTTCTGAGAGCCCTTGGGAAGCCCTTCCCCCAAATTGATAACGTTGGTAGCAGAATGTGTGAGTCAAAAGCATGAAAAGGAAGGGGGAGGGTTTAGCTCAGGTGGTAGAGTGCATGCTTGGCATGCACGAGATCCTGGGTTCAATCCCCAGAACTTTCTCCAAATGTAAATAAATAAACCCAATTACCTCCCCCATAAAGAAAAAAGAGGGAAAAAAAAGCATGAAGAGGATTTTGGCATACCCTCCTGTACCCAGGTCTCAGTCGCTTCTCTGCCTCCTCCTACTTTTGGGACCTTCTATTATTGCTGGTTTCATCCTCCAGAAAGCAAGAACGCAATGAGGCCATTTGTCTTCAGATCACATAGTCGGTCTTTTACAGCCTACCGACCCTATCACTTTTCTGTCTGAGGTGTTCTTCGTTTGTCCCTCTTGTCCGGGACATGTTAAAGGACTGCAGGATTGGAAGCAGTTGCTGGGTCCTTGTACTCAGTTTGGCTGACTGCACCAGGCTTCTGCTGCTGGCCTTTTTTAGCAAGCCCTCTGTCCTTTCCTGCCCTTACACTTGGGAAGTGATCACAGGCTGCCCATGTCCTTGCTTATTGGTGGTCAGGCAGAGGAAACGTGGAAAGGGTTCTTCTGCCCTTGGAGGGTCCACATCCTCACCTTCTAGTTCCAGGAGCTTTCCTGCACACACTTTGGGCCTGCAGGGCCTTGGTCGCTGTCCTGTGTGCATTAGTGTCATTGTTGGGGCTTCCACTTCCTGCCCCTGCTGTTGGGAACCAGGCTACGTGTGCCCAGTTCCCCTGGATACCCAGTTGCTGCCAGTCAGCCACGGGACGTTCTGTAAACGTAGCCTTGGCATCCTTTTTCCGCCTGTCACTGATTAGTTACACACTGATCGTTGTTGGCCGCCTGCTGTAGACAGTCCACTGTCTCCTTCAGAGTTAACTGCTGCCTTTTTGTGAGGAAGTAGTGTGTCTGGGAAATAACAACAGCTTTTGCAGAATGTTTACCATCTTGTCACTCCTGTACTGAGCCCTTCCCTGATGCCTGCCCAGCCCTGCTTGAGCAGGGACGAGTCGGGTGCTCATTCTTGGCTTCTTCAGTTGCAGATGAGTCCACTGTGTGCAGAGGCGTCATGGAAGTTGCCATGTTGGGAACATTCTAGACCCCAGTGTCCTTGAGGTAAGATCTCTGGTCCATTCTCTGCAGTGTTGGTTCCTCACATCTGGTAGTCATGTGTGTGTGTTCCCAGGGGGGCTCTGGGTGAAGATGTAGCGGGGCTGAGAGGTGAGATGAAGGTGGTACCCACAAGTCCCCAAGTCCTCTCACCCACCCCAGTGACTCAGCCTATTCCCTGGCCACTGCCACCTGCTTCTCTTCCTGGATCTCTCTGCCTTGTTCGCACCTGCATTCAAAAGTGACCACGGGCTGCCTGTGCTCTGGTCGTTGATGATGCAGGGAGAGGAATTGTGGAAAGCAGTTTCCCGTGTTTGGAGGGTCCACACCTGTCCCTTTCAAATGCTGGCGCTTTCACACACTCCGGCTTCTCTCCAGCCAGTGCTTTCGGCTCTCAGGCCCTGGGGGCTGCCGAGTGAGAGGCAGTGAGGAGACTTGGAGCTCGCCCTCCTGTTATCAGAGCCAGGCTGTGTACTTGTCAGGTTGAGGTACTTCTGGGGGAGGAAGGAGCCAGGATGAATCACGCATAACAAATGAGCGCCATGCTCAGGTAGTATATAGTGATTGCCATGAGGTTTTCAAAGGGAGCAGCTTTTTGGAGGTAGTAGACCTGGGCAGGCCCTGAAGGAGGCGGGTGTGAGAGGCAGTGGGAAGGTCTTTGAGGGGAGGGAGGAGCACGAGGATGATTTGAGGCTGGGGTTAGTGAGAGTGCCTGGGGAGTCAGGTGTGCAGGCAAGTAATGACTGTGTAGAGGGGACGGCTGCTGGGGTGGTGGTCCCCACTCCTGACACAGGGTGGTGGGGCCCAGTGGGAGGTGCTCCTGAGAGCAAGCTCTCCAGCTATGTCTCTGCCAATTACTCCATCTGCTCTGTTGCCCTGAAAAGGTCCATTTTTTAAAGACAAGGTTTTTTTTGTTTTGTTTTGCGTTTTAAATGGAGGTACTGGGAATTGAATCCAGGACCTCATGTGTGTGTCATGCTAACACACACTCTACCGCTGAGCTATACCCCCACCCCTAAGACAGGGTTTATTTTGACTCTTCTCTAGGAGGATTGAGATTCCTTCCTGAGCCAAGTTTGGTGTGAAAAGAAATGTGCAGCTCATCCCTGACTTAGTGGGGGCATTCTCACGGATGTCAGCTTGAAGAAAGATAAGGTAACGCTGGAGAGCAAATCCTTGTCGTGAGCTCCTCATCACCCTCAGGGTGCTGCCTGGGACCTGGACTTGGTTGGAAGAAGCCTCAAAGGAAAACAGTGGCCCCCCTCAGGATGGTGACCGGTCCCAGCTCCCTGGAGGGGCCTCCTCATGGTGAGTTACTGCCAAGTTGGCTTGTGTTTCTGAGGTGGAAATTCCAAGCTGCTGGCCTCATCTGACTCTCTCCTTTAGGTTATTATGGGGCTGATCACAGACACTGTGTAGCAGAGCGAAGAATGATGTTGCCACATGACCGTCACCAGACCTTCTATCTTCCATTGGCTCAGCACAGAATGGAAGGACTTTGCAGCTCTGTAAAGGGGGCAGATGGAATGTCCTGGGACTCTAGGAACTTGGGGTTCAGAGCTGGAGACCTTCACGTAGCTCTGCCTCTCCCCAGCAGGTGCCACAGAGCACTGCGGACCCAGAAAACTGGTTTCCTTCCATCTGGACCAGGTCATCCAGTGGCCTCCATGTCCCCCTGCCTACTGCTATGTAACTTTTTAGAACCAAGAGTTTGTGCTGGAGTTTCTGTGTGTGCATCTTGTCCTCTCATCCACTTCAGTAAATCTTGAAGCTGCCCAACTGCTTGCTTTTTTGTTTTCTTTTTTTAATCACTGCTTGCATGTGCCAGGATGGATGTGTATAGAACCAGTGGTGGGTCACAGGGGCATATCTTCCAGTTTTCACTCATTGAGAGTTTCCAGTTAACACATTCCTGAGGGTTGACCTAGGGACGGCGGAGGGGACATAGAATTCACATGAGGTTGAACAGTTCCAACCGAGCTTCTGAGGCTCGGGTTTAGGAGAGAAGGAAACTGTTAGAATTGTTGCCTGGGGTACATTTGGACAGGGCTTTGGAAAAGAGGAGGTTGTTAAGGGTGGGCACAGAGACAGAGTCGGGCTGAAGTCCTTAAGGAAGGCAAGAGAGTCCTGAGCTCTGGGGGTGGATTTAGGAAGATGGTTTTGAGCAGGGGTGGGAGGGGGGTATGCGAGGAACAGCTGCCCTCGGGAGAGCTCTGGGGTCCAGTGGGCAGAGGCCAGGTGTTGGGCTTCCCCTGCTGTTACCGCGAGGCAGATCTGGATCTGGTCTTTGGGGATTCAGGTTTGTGACAGTAATGGCAATGGTGTGCTTTACACCCTCTGGGTGTGAGTTACTCTCATTTTTCAGGTGTTGCCCACACAGAAGACCCTTCCCAAATGCCTTGGTGGAAAGGGAGGAGTTCACTGTCCATTCCTTCCACTGACAATGAAATCACCTTGATGGGCTGACGTGGAAACCAGGTGGTCAGACCCACCTTTGTGAGATCAGCACCTTGATGGCCTGTGTCAGCAGGAGGCATTCTTGAGGCCTGGGGGTCTACTCTGCCATCCAGTCCCGGCAGAGGGCCTTATTTCTGCCTTGCCCCCTCCTGGATTCCTACCAAGGGCCATCCGACACCTCCCCTTTGCTCTCTTGAAGACCCCTGACCTACTCTGACTCCTCTCTGGGCCAGTTTCATCCCCCCATGGCCTGGGTCCTCCAGTGAAAAAGGAACATGTTTCCCCCAATTTGGCCACAATCTCTTCTTTTCCAGTGAGGTTTCACTGTGGGTTGTAGCCTTCACATTTGGAGACCTCTTTCTGTAATACTGACTGTCCCCTCTCAGTACTCAGCAGCTTCCTAACAGCTTTTGGTAGCATTGTCTAGGCCCCATTCCCCTCCCCTTTATTCTACTTACTCTCTTACAGTTTTGTTGACCCCCTCCCACCTCAGTCCTGTAGCCTGGGGTCCCTGATGCCGTCTTATCTGTGTTTTGTAGAAGAGGCAGTGGTGGAGGGCAGGAAAGGAGGAGGCCAGAGGGCAGTGGTTGGTGAAATGGTGGGGACGGGAGTCACCAGGCATGGTCTCTCACTGTGGCTTAGCCTGTGGGCACCAAAATTTCCTGCCTAATAAGCCAGACTGGTCAATTTGTAGAGGTTTCTCTCATTCCTTGCTGTGTTGCCGTGTTACCCTGGTGTGATGACTGGACATGGGGGTCAGTGAAGTCATGCATTAGAAGCACTGATTGCAGTCCCACACACAGTAAGCACTCAGTGAAGGACAGGTCTTTTTGATCATTAACTTGTCCACTTTCAAGTTATAAATGATGCTTGCCCCTGACCTAGCCTCTTAGGTCTGCCCTCCCCTGCCCTCAGCCCCAGCATAGACATCCCACTCTCCCCGGGAGACACCCGGGGCCCTCTTCACTGCCGTGGTCTGCTGTCCACCCTCATCTCACACCTCACGCCTTGCAGCACCACAGGCCCCGGCCAAACTACCACTTAAGATCCCTGAACATGCTCTCCTCTTCCTGGCCTGAGTGCCTGGAATGCCCCTTCCATTTCAGACCTCGCCTGACTCAGCTTATGTCACTTCCTACAGAAAGCCTTCAATGAAATCTCCACCCAGACTGGGTCCCCTGCCCTTCCTTTCATTCATATCAAGTGTCAGTTTGGGGAAGGCACAGTTCTGGGAAATGGTAAATAAGAGAAGGCAAAAGAGCAAAAGCTCCTGCCTTTACGGTGCTTACATTTTAGGGGACAGAGACATACCATAAACAAAGTACTGAAAAGTCTAGTATGCTAGAAGAGGACCAAGAGAAAAAATTAAGCAGAGAAACAGGACAGGAGGTCCAGGGGCAAGTATGAGGCAGGGTGCTTTGAGTCAGTAGCTGGAGAAGGCCTCACCTGGGAGGTGTGATTTGAGTGAAGTGAGGGGCTGTCACCTCTGGGTGTTCAGGGCAGCCTGGGCAGCCTCCATCACAGCATGGACCAGGGGTGGGAGGAATCCTTCCTCTGGGATTCCAGGCCCAGGAAACTTGGTGGATGGGAGGCTTTTGAGGCCTCTACAAGGCTCCAGCTGGTTATCAACACCCGCCATGTGGTGAGGGTGGCAGCCCAGGCACGTGGGGATTAGCTCCGTCACATCAGGCTGTGCATGTCTTGAGGGCAGGCTTTACACTGTCAGCCCATCAGCCCCCTCGCCCCTCCAACCACAACTCACTGGACTCGGCGCCCTCATCCAAGGGCAGGCCTAACCCATGACCTTGGTCTAGGACCAAGAGCAGTGCTAACCAACCAAGCAGGTTTTCCTCTAGGAGAGTGCTGAGTATGTTAAGAGCTTGAGTAATTGGTTTGCAGGAATAAAAACAGGAAGAAAAATTGAGTCCCTTGAACAGCAGAGTCCAAACGTTCAGAGCATTGAGCCCCTATTGCAGGTGGGAGAAGCACTTCTAGAACTTGGAGGAAGAGGATGAGATTCTAATTTCCAAACTCTCTTCGTGCTCCACAAGGCCTGGCTATGAGCAGTACTCAGACTTGCCATGAAGCCTGGGGTTCGGTTTTCCCTGCATTTTTTAAGGTGTCAAGTGACCAAAATTCCTGTCTTCCCCCTTTTTTTTTTTTTTTTAAATAAGAGACCTTACATTCACCATCACATGCTGTTACTGGAGGGAGTGAGAAATGAGTCTCTGCTCATAACAGCCTAAAGGGTGTTACCAGCATAGTGGCTGACAGAGGCAAGGAGCTCAATCTGCCTTTAAGGATGAAGGATGAAGGATGAAGCCAGGGGTAGCCTTGACTGTGTGTACCAGGAATAGCTCACTGAGGCCTCTCTGCCCCCGTGGCTACAACTGCTCTGTCACCAGGATACTGAACTCCACCTACGTTAGGAAGCAACCCAGTGAAATCATTCAGAGCCTGTTGAATGATGTTGCCCCTTAGCTGCTGTGGGGCCTGGAGCACGTTCTTTTGCCTCCTCGAACTTTAGTTTCTGGGTCTGTAATTTAACCATCAGATTAGGACCTACCCCAAACAGTAATGATGAAATAAGATGTTGCAAATAATATACATAGCAGAGTACCTACCTCATACTAAGTGCTTTATACATGTCTGTGATTTTTTTGATGTGCACATCTAGCTTATTAATAGTTAAAATGAAGAACAAACGTAAAATGTCATTATGAGACTCATCTGTTAACGTGACATCACGAGCACTTTCTTCTTTGCAAATTTGCAGACATCCCAGTGGGGCTGGTGTTAGTCATCGCTACCACTGACTGAACTTTTATTAAGTGCCATGTGCTGTACTAAGTAAGCCTGTGTGTATAATTACCTCATTTAATCTTCGCAACAACCCAGTGAGGTAGATTTAATTATCCTCCATTTTATAAACGAGGAAACCAATGTTCAGAGAAATGAAGGGACCTGTGTTGCTTCCAATGAGTGGCTCAGCTGGTTTTCCATTTCTGGGTATATCAAGTAGTGAAAAATGTTGCAGGCTGATTTCATAAAAAGCACAAGCATATGAGCCTGTCAGATGCTTGTTTATCCTGGAAAACTGGAAATTAGGATAGTTTACTATTCCCTCCATCTGTTTCAGATTATTGCCTATTATCCAGTCTTTCTAAAATCGTCCCTGTCTAAATCAACCATCTTGAGGACTGAACTTGTGAATCTGACATGCACAGAGGCGATAGGCATCGTCAGTTACAGCCGACACCAAAATATCGTATCCCTCTTATTAAGGTTTTGTGTGTCTGAAGCAGTAGTCATCCTCGGTCTTCGGAGCTTGAGGAAACCTTTGCAGGCTATGACGGAGGTGGCCCAAGAACCAGGATTAGGGGCAAGAAGAGTCATGATCCTATCAGTAAATCGGTGCCTGGTACCAGAGGCTCTGGTGAAGCAGCTGGTGGGAGTATATAGCGGACTCAAGCCAGGAGAAAACAGAGGGCTGAGACAATGAAGGTTCACTGGTCCAGGCAAAATATGTTTGTGTTAGGCACTGTGCTGAGAATTGGGATACAATGATGAGTAAGGAAGTACCTGCCCTCACAGCGATCACATAAGAGTATGTAAATAATAAGTTCTATTTCCAGATACTCATGGAACAGTCACTGTGTGCTGGACCTTGCTGTAGTCTGAGCACACAGCTCTGAACAAAGCTGAGGAGGGGGACTCATGGAGTGTCCAGCCTAGAACAGAACTGTCCAATAGGAACATAATCAATGACACGTGTAATTTAAAAATTTCCTAGTAGCTGCAGTAAAGAAGTAAAAAGAAGCAGATGAAATACATTTTAGTGATATGTTTTATTTATCCCATGACATCAAAAAATTATTTCAATGTATACTCAATATAAAAAATTATTGAGATGTTTTACATTTTTTCTCAAACTAAATCTTTGAAATCTGGTGTACATTTTATGCTTGTAGCACATATTGGTTATGCTTATAACACATGCAGCTCGTGGCCACCTTATTGGACAGCATAGATCTAAATGATGAGGGATTCAAGGCTAATACCATGAAAGAAGAGTGTTGCAAGGGTGCCTGCTTTACAGGAAGTCTGCTGCACTGCGTAGGGTCTTAAAGGAGCTGCTCTAGCCTGGTTTCCCCATCCCTGGTATCCCTCTTCCCCATCATGGTGGAATGGGGCCAGGTGTAGATCAAGTGTGCCTGATGGAGTCGCATCATATTCCAGAGCCTTCTGGAGGAGGATGCCAAGTTCCATAGGGCTTCTCCAGCACAAGCGCTACCTCCTGGAGTTAACCTCGGTGTGCCCAG